TAGTTTTGCATACTTTATAACCTCATAATCATACATGGCGTTATCGGGTAACTCTATTTTTTTAATAAGATTTTTTTTTTTTACCCTCCTCACTGTTACCTCCTCCTTTGTAAGGTTTTAAATACATGCCTCGTCCTTCTCGATATCGTTTAATTCCATTACCCTGCTTTTTATTGGTTTTTAATTCGTGTGCCGTCTTTATTACATTCGAAATTCCTCCTGCCAGACCTCCTAGTGCGCTCAGAGCCGAAAATAGCGTAATCAGCGGTAAAACACCACCATACTTGGGCGTTGGTATGATTCTGGACATTAAATGTTTTTTATTCTTATTTGTTTTATTTTTAGCGGCTATCATAGTATTTGTTTTCGGCGTCTTTTTTGTTTTTCTCTTGATATTCTTTACTTTTTTATAGCCCATACCCAATTTTCTCTTCAACTTCATGCCCGTAGCGACGGCCAACGCGGCCGCCTTTTCTTTTAAGCCCGTATTTTCAGAAGCGAACGAATCCCAAGCTTGCTTTTCTAAAACAGAATCTGCCGCGTGACGATCCGATTTTACGTTACTGGCATCGTAGGCCATGTCGTGTACTCTACACGCTCTGTCTAGGCTATTTATACCCGCATCGCCGCGCGCCAATCGTTTTTTCAATTTTGTCCCGGGCCCGCAAAACCTAAAAAATAATACAATAATCGAATTTTCATAATTTTTTATACAACAAAATTTTTACTAATAAGACGGTAAATGCATTTCCATAGGCATCTTATTTATAATATAGTTTAGCAATCCGCGACCTTTATTGTTCTTCATTGCTCCAGTGGTTTTCATCGTGTGCGTTAGTTTTTCATGATTCTCAATAATATATATATATGTTTTTAATAATATGCGAATTTTCGAGCAAAAACATAAACTCTCGGTTCAAAATGTAGATATAACCGTGGGCTCGACATTTAAACGACACGGATTTTTATTTCCAAACACATTGAGAGGGTTGATTGTAGGACCATCGGGGTGTGGCAAGACCAATGTTATTTTCGCGCTGTTAACGGATATTAATGGAATCAAGTTTGAGAATGTGTATATCTATAGTAAAACCCTACATCAGTCAAAATACATAATTTTAAGAAAAATCTTACAAGGGTTGAAAGGGTTAAAGCTTTTTACTTTTCACGAAAACGATAGTGTTACGCCTCCCGAAAAAGCGCTCCCCAACTCTGTTTTTATTTTCGACGATGTTATATGCGAAAATCAAAATATTATAAAATCGTATTATTCTCGTGGAAGACACAACAACATAGACTGTTTTTATCTCGCACAATCGTACTCTAGAATACCTAAACACCTGTTGAGGGATAACACTAATTTTATTATATTATTCAAGGAGGATGAACTCAATTTGAAACACGTATTTCAAGATCATTGTTCCGGAGACATGAGCTTCAAAGAATTTAAAACTTTTTGCGCGACCGGTTGGAATCGTGAAAAATTCGGTTTCGTTGTCATTAGCAAAGACGACGAAAGAGATAATGGACGTTACCGTTTCGGATTTCATTATTTCGTCGCTATATAAGACATTATTTTCGAAATCTAATAATTAACGACAATGCATTCTGACAAATCGGTGTTGACCGATTTAATACGGGCAAGAGACAACATTAGACGAAAATTTAACGATTTAAAACAGCAGCGCGCCGATAATGAAGTTATAATTACCGACACGTTAAAACCTATCATAAACCCGCTTGAAAAAATAGCGAAGTTTAATGAGAAAAATTATTATAAAAAAGCAAATGACGAAAAAGAAAAAAAATTTAGACATGAAAATATTGTAAAAGATTTGCACGAATTATACGATGTAAAGACCGAAAAAGAAGAAAATAATTTTTTTATAAATTTAAACAAGTACATTGGTGGAGATGTCGATGAAAACCGTCGGATCGAACAAATAGATAAATTGTACGGACCGAAACTGGGGAACGACGGGCAAATCGCATCGTACGGTAATGCCGAGAATGTAACTTTTGATTGGGCTAGTGGAAAAATTCTCATTGACAATAACTCCTATCCGCTATCCAAGGGTTTAGTTCAACTCATCTTCAACAAACGACCGATAGACTATGACGAAGAGGATTTGGCTGTTTATAAAAAAATTTTATTATTAACATCGGCCCACCTCAAAGCCGGTAAAAACAGTTTAAAAAAGGGCGGTAAAAAATACTATGAAATTATTGAACATTTGTTCAGTAGTGGGGGCGGCCTTTCTAAATCACTTATAAAAGACCGAGAAGAAACGTATGTGTATTGGAACGATCCGAACGAGTTGGTCTCCAGGTTGAAATTACTCATGTCTTCAAAAAATGCCGGTAACACGAGTTTAGACGGTGAAATTATATCGATTTTCGAAGAACTTTTAGAATCCGGGTACATTAAACGAATGCCCAAATATGTCTAGGTCCGATATCGCATTTGAACTGCACAGGCCGGCAAGAAAAAATTTTATCAGGAGAAGAGTTAACGTTTTTGGTAAAAATGATCTTTGGGAAGCCGATCTTGTAGAATTTATTCCTCTAGCAAAAATAAATATGGGTTATAAATATATACTCTGCGTGATAGATTGCTTTACTAAATACGCGTGGGCAATACCGCTGAAAACAAAATCCGGAAAAGCCGTTACTGAAGCGATGGCTAGACTATTTGCACTTCGCCGTCCCCGCCTAATCCATACGGACAGGGGTCGGGAATTTTACAATACGCATTTCCAAAAGCTTGTAAAAAAATATAATATAAATCATTATTCGACTTTTAGCACGATTAAAGCTTCCATTGTTGAACGTTTTAACAGAACTTTAAAAACAAATATGTATCGAGAATTTAGCGCTAGAGGTTCGCAAAAATGGATTAATATACTAGATTTTTTAATCGAAAAATATAATAACAACAAACACCGCACGATTGGTATGACACCTGTACAGGCCGACTCGAATCCGCTGTCGGTTAAGCTTGATCAGAGAAAAATAATTAAATCAAAAACCGAATTCAAAGTTGGACAGAAAGTGCGGATATCTATACATAAATCTTTATTTATTAAAGGATATACGGCTAATTGGAGCAGTGAAATTTTTACAGTTTCCAAAGTTAATAATACATCGCCAATTACTTATATGTTAAAAGATTACACGGGCATGCCTATAGAAGGTTGTTTTTATGAATACGAATTACACGGTACAAAATATCCAGATGATTTTCTCATTGAAAAAATTATCAAAAGAAAAAAATCCAAAGTATTGGTAAAGTGGCTGGGTTTTGACAGTTGTCACAACTCGTGGGTGTCCGCGAACGATATTAGTCGTTAAGTAGCGACTCGGGCGGTTAAACAATTAACATTTATCATTAACATAATAAGGCGATGTAAACACGTTGTTTAATCTCATATTTAAGACCTTGTGGTGTACTTTAATTACCATGTTTACTACTATAAGAAAATAAATATGAACGATATTTATAAGCGGTTCCACACGAAAATCCATTAGTTTCTCTCGTATTACACGGCGCTGTCTGGCAATATGGAGGAACTAAGGAAAAAATTACAACATCAAGTACACAGTACCCACAAATCTATAGGCGAACTGACAATCAATAGGAAATACGTCATTTTGAATTTGTCAAGATCGGAAACGAAATTTGGTCCGTCTATTAAATGTCGATTGTCGGACACCGGCATCAACGTCAATAGTGGTAATTTCATTTAAAATATATTTTTTATTTAAATTCTAATATCGAAATATTTATAGAAGGTAAATCGCGGAGCTCGAAAAACGAGGAAAAAATTCCCGGTACATTTTATGTTTATTTACCGAAATCGGTGAGCTTGTCTGATGAGGAAATCGAAAGTTTCAACAACACAGAAGACGACAACATGCACTTGATCTACAGGGGCAATACTCCAAAGAAAAAATTTTTAATCGATTTTATGTGAAAATTAAATAAATAAATGATTTAATTTTATACTAACAATAATCTGTGTAATTATTTTTAAAATAACTCCTTGTATATATCTATAAGAGTGAACACCAAATATAAGTAATAATTGATTATGAAGTGATATAGTTCTCATAAGTCGTGAGTGTCCGCGAACGATATTAAAAGCGGTGGTGTGTAAAATAAATCAGTATAAATAACCGCGCACAACATGAACGTGTTTGGTACAAATCAACCCAACCCGACCTTACCCAACAGCCAACTTAAAAAACTTGAAAATATCAGTACGACAATTTTAAAAGATATTGCACAAGCGCAGATAGGTTTAATCACTATTGAAGATAAAATAAAACTATTAACAGATGACGTGAATCTCACAAAATTGCTAATTGACGGTTTAGATAATAGAATTTCCACGTCTGATATTAAATTGCGAAACCTAACTGATGAAATTAAAACCGTCAGTTCGCATTTGAATAATTTAAATATCGATTTCGATGAAACTAAATCCAAAATATATACTCGTATTAATGATTCCACTTCAATTAACGCGACTAATAAAATATTAGAAAATATTGTTGGACGGATTAAATTTCTAGAGAAAAATAAAAATAGTAACTTTAGTGACTCATCAGCCGTTGAAGAGAATACATCTAATATTTCGACAAGTTAAAAATGAGTACGGCAATATTTGATATACACTGCGTACTGGGCTCACACGGTGAATACGTCATAAAAGAGTTGTCTATAGTCGATACGGACGAATTGACCGCTCAAACATGGATATTCAAAAGTGAACCGGCACGGAATGCAAAATCAATGACGGCAAACAAATGGTTGAAACGATATTATCATCGAATACCGGCGAGCTACGGTCAGGTGAATGCGAATGAAATTCGCCCGATATTAAACTCTACGAATTATAAGTCTATACTCGTAAAAGGAATACAGAAAAAACAACTGCTGGAAAAACTCATTACGAAACCGTGCATTGTAAACGATTTAGAAACTCTGGGCTGTCCCCCGATCGGCCACTTATACGAAAATTATACTTTTCCATCTTGTATATTTCACAAAAATTTAGACCCGCATCTATGCACGCTTTTTACAGCGTACAAGCTGAGAAAATGGTATTTGGATAATATATATATAAAAAATAATAATTAAATTTTATTATACATTTATTTCACAGTGTAAATTCAATAATAAAGAATATTATACATGTATTACATCGTGTAAATTTAACAATATTTAATTTCTCTATTGTCAATAATAATTTGATGGTAATTGTGTACAAGGTTCCTCGTTAATGGACTTAACCAAAGACATCCAACCGAATTCTCGCACATGTTCGTTCTAAAATTGAAATACTATTAATAAAATAGTTAATTTTTAATTGATATTGCAAACCTTTTTCTGAGGTGTGTTATACCACGTTTTTTTATCCGCCAATCGATCCACAATGCTGGTAGACATGAATGTTTTTATTTCATGTGCATAACTATGATCATGTTTTTTCATTATATGTTTTCCAACCTCGGTGAAATCGATATTTTTTACAAATAATGTAATTGCGTTGTAATCGTTTGTTATACGCTCGTGTGTGAAAATATTGAAACAATAATCGATAATCTCTTCAAATTGCTTTTTAATGATCGGTCTATTGACGGTGTTTTGACGATTGATTGCATCGAAAATTACATACTCCAAATCTAATAAGGTGATTAAGTGCTCATATTTGAAAACGACCTGACACTTTGGATATATTTTCGATTTTATTAAAATGACGTTTGTCTTGCGATGCGCCCTTTTCCATACCGCTGTTTCAACATCCTCGAGTAGTAAAATATTTTCTTTTTTAATCGGCGCGGTCAATACCGAAGATAAAATATTGCCCATCGAACCGAAAATACGCTTTAAAAAATCTATCGAAATCGAAACATTTTTTAACGGAGAAATAATACGCACCTCGGTGTTGAACGGTTCTCTCGGTTCAATACCGATCGTTATGAAAAATTTTTGTTTTTCATTCAGACTGTAAACCAAACAATTTAACAAATCATTTTTACGTTGAAATTCGACTTGACCAACACTATTCGCTATAGTCATATTGTCGAGAATAAAACATAAAATCATGTCCGTTCAACACAACAACAAATGACCGAATGATCTTATACTGTTTTTGTAACGAATCGCACCTGACCGATCGACTTTTTTTCTAATTTTCACTATCAATTATTTCGTAATCATTAACGTTCGTCTTGTCTTTTACAACAATTTCTAAAAAATTTACACGTTTATCGATAATTTTTAATACTTCATGCAAATGTTTTATATAGTCTCTTAAATCTTCGACTTGTCGGCCTAATCTAAAATCTACCCCTTTAAATCTTACGAACAGTTCATAAATCTGCGATCTGTTTTTAAGTAAACTTTCATCGATGTTTTTTATTTTTTCTACGTCCTCACCTCGGCGCGAACAACAACAACAACAACAACGACACCGATCCATTATAACACGTCACTAAACTGTCTGTAAAACATCATTTTCATCGTTTATCATAACTGCGATGCGATCGAATCACGCAGCGCCGTCCGTCGGGCGAAATACTCGCGCAATCATAGTGTGTGTGTTGGGTTACATGGCGGGTGCCGTCCGCCAGATGGCAGCACATGTACAAAGTGTGAATTGGGTTTCAGGGTACGCGCCGTCCGCCAGATGGCAGCACATGTACAAAGTGTGAGTTGGGTTTCATCGGATTAGTGTACGTTGGGTTGCATCGGATTAGAATACAAGGGGTTTGCTCCATTCCCCTCCCACCTTTCCCCTACTATGGCGGGAGGGGTATGTAAGGCAGAGGGGTATGGCTGCCATACATTATTATACTACTCA